AGATACAAATGTATGAACAGGACAGGTAAAAAAGGAAAAAAAAAAAAAAAAAAAAAAAAATAGCCATTTTTTATATATGGCTTGGCTTGTCAATAAATCCGCAGATTAATAAACACTCTGGTGAGTGATCAAATCAGCTATTAACCCCACTCTTTGTGATTTTTTTTTTTTTTCTTTTTTTTTTTTTTGTATGTATTAAACATATTACAATGTGGCGAAGTTCCTCATTTCACCTGTGTGCACGCGGGTGGGAAAACATTGAGCGTTTTTGTTTTTTTTGCCTTTCCATGTTTGGAAAAGTTGTACACGTGCTTTTCTGCCAATCGCATCAATTTTTTGCCTTTTCTCTGTACGTTTCACCTCTCACCGAGCACACTCGACCGCTGGTGGATCATGGCTCACCGCACAGCCCGCACCGTTCACTCCGCCTTCCTCTTTTGGGGTAGTAAATTAAGCAGCTTGAGCGTTTCCTCGGACAACCCGATATTTTCAATGATGCTTTTCTTCTCCTCCTTTTTCCGCACAGACATATTGCTGGGATCCTCTGCATCCCTATGTTGTGCGAGGCCCTTTTCATCGACCTTCATCATCACATGCGCAAGGCTGTTTTCTTCCCCAACAGTGTGTACACCTGCTCCCTCCTCTTCCTTTTTGAATGTCAAAGGGTCATTTGACTTGGAATTGTAGCTGGAGCTGTACACTGGTCTCCCCGGGTGGAAATAATTCTCTTCATTGTGTTCTCTCAATTTAGACAAATTAATTCTAACATGTGAGGTTTCCAGCAAATCCTTAACAATACTGTTATTAATGGATAGGTTACTCGTTTCGCTTAACTTCCGTCCCAGTTCTCCATCATTTTCGCTTTCCTCCACTTCTAACGTTTGAACAAAGTAACTTGGCAAATCGCTCTTCAACTCAGGCATAGCAATGTTGTGGTCCTGAATCTTCTTCACAATATTATTTATTTTGTATTCATTAATCAAGTGCAGGGTTATTAAATTCTCGATGATAAAAAGTAAAGGAACGTCCATTCTGTACTTGTCATTAAACCCCTTAATATTCTCCAACATATTTTGCAACTCCTTTTGGTACTGTTGAAAATTTTCTATGTTCTTTTTGTCTATTTTGCTTATGACATTTGTTTCTAGTGTACTTTTGTAATCCTCATTTTCGCTGATGCTGAATTTTTTCTTGCAGTTCTGATACACACAAGGATAGTTAAGCAATTCAAACACGTCCTTTATTTCGATTTTAACATTTTTAATAAAATTTGACAACGACTCGAAGAATGACTTGATGAAAAAATTGCTTTCGTTTTCAATGCCCTTTAAAGAGGAATTCATTTTTTATGAGACCACCGGCCGAAAGTGATACGTGTGTACATTGTACCTACCCAGACAAAACGTCAACTCGGTCAGGTTTCACCAAACGTTCAACACGGTTGGGTGTGTGTCTTTTCCACACCTGAGTTGTCACGCCTTATCTGTTATGAAGGATTCGCCTTCAACGGTCTGATTTATTTGAAACAGTTCTTTCTTGCTCCTTTCCAGTTCGGCACATAGTTTCGCACATTTAGGGGGAAGCCCCTCCTCACATGCACGTGTGTGAAGGTGGAAAAAGGTTGTTACTTGGGAAGGCTACTTTGTACAGCGCAAAATCGTTTCACCCCTTTATTTGTTCATTCATTGGTTTATTTATTTGTTTGTTTGCTTATTTGTTTGTACGTTCGTTTATTTTTGTATTTTTTATTTAATTTTTTTTTTTTCCACCAACCCGTTTGGTGTATTTTTTTTTTTTTTTTTTTTTCCCCGTTTTCTTCAAAAAAGGCGCAAATACAAGTCGAGTTACATTTCGCATGCCGAGGAAAAACCTCCACGAGGGGCGCACTTTCGTTATGATCTAGGTGAAAGCACAATGATGAAATACTCTCCACATTGAGTAAGCACAAGCTTCCTGGCACGGCAGCAGAATTTTGTTTGTTTACTCTCACTGATGATTACAGAACATTCCAAGTGAAGAGCATTTTTTTTTTTTTTTTTTTTTTTTCCGTAACACTAGTATATATACATTCATTTGCTGAACATAATGGAGAAGTGTACCTTCGTTTTATTTCCCGTTCGAATTATATGACTTCGACTTTGTGGTACTCTATATCAGCCTGTTTTCACTCCCCAGTTTAGTGAGCACGGGTGATTAGCAGCGGGGGTGTACACACGCAGGGGTGTGCGAGCAAATCGGCTCACCCGTGTCGATACGCCACCCATGTTGACGTACAACCCACGCTGACGTACCTGAGGGAACCATGCTGCACCTGAACAGTTCGTGCATATCGGACATTGAGCACATCGAGCGAGTACTGAAGAGGAAGGATTACGAGGGAATAAAGACAAGTGCAGAGATAAAAAGCGTGTTCGAAAATCTGGGGGAAGCATTTAAAACGTTTAGTGACTCTCTTAAGAAAATTCACTCTGATGGAAATGCTATCATTTCAAGTATAAAAAAGAGACACAAGGAGGAGGGCGAATCGGATCGGGTTTACTTGGCCGACTGCTTTGTCAACGTCGTTACCCTTGTGCACAATTTGTATGAAGAAAATTTGTCCATCAGTGAAAAGATAAAGAACGAGATAGTCCTGGAATTAGAAAAGGAAGAAGATGAAAGGGTGCAAGAAATCAATTCCATTTATAATGAGGAGGAAGAGGGATCAACTACACTGAATGGAAATCGAGGTGGACAATCGCACGAGGATGAATTCTCTACTGCAGAGAGATGGGAATGCCAAACAGGCAGTGCGGGTCCACATGACCAAGGTGTCCATGACAAGGGCATGATCATTCATGACGGAAAGAGAGACGGATTACATAAGGAGGACTACACCCATGACCAAGAAATCCTTGTAGACGGAATTCCACTCAGACAAATAGAAATAGATTTGAAAAGGTGTTTGGAAAATGAGCATTTCGCAAAAGAGTATCTTAACAGCGCAAAGTATAAAAAGCATTTTGCAGCGCTCGACAAACTTAATATCAAGCTGGACAAAGAAATTCAAGCCTTTAAAGAAATCCTCGACAAATTTGGAAAAAACGCTAATAAGCATTTAATTAATAAATCTAAAGAAAGAATAAATGCTATTCAAATTGGGAAGAAAAAAATTTTCGAAATTTTGTATGATAATATAAAAGAGCTCCGACATAATAAACGGAGCATGCGGTGCAGCATCAAGGACTTGGAACAGTACATACAGGATAATGAATGCAGATGGAAAAAGTACCAGGACAAGGAGAGAAAAGGTGCTGGGAGAAGGGAAAGCCAAAATGGAGATTTTTCAAAAGAGGAAAATTCTCCACACAAACTGGACGAACAAAAAAGACAAAAAAAAACATTCAAAGGAATCAACCTGGAAAAATTCGAAATAAGAGAAAAACACAGAATTGAAAAAATATATACCAGCTTAAGGGGTTTCATAAAAATTCTCGCAGTGGAACATATCCACATGAACAGTGTATTGCACAAAGGGGCATGCGAAATTAGTTCCTACGACTCCCTCATCGATTATCAAATGTGGTTAAGTCTTGTCCTAAGAAAAAATGTGGACATAGCAGACTTGCAACAGAAGATACCCCAAAATGACGTACTCACTGAGGAGGAACAATTTAGGCTAATGCCACATCGGGGTCATTCCCCGGCTGCTGATATGCAGCACACGTCCGACAAGAAGAGGAAAACGAACGAGCAGAATTTTCGGAGCGGGGAATTGATTTGCACGGAGAAGAGCTCACCTGGGGGTGAAGCGGAAAGGAAGAAGCAGAAACATTTGCAACGTGGAACAGATCGAGCTCCGTCTCCAAGGGATGGTCAATTCCCCGAACAGTACTACATCCCAGTGATAATAGAAAGAAGTACTTACAAATCAGAGGAGGATACTACGCCTATTGAGCAAGAAGCGAGAGGGACTAGAAAGACGCGAGAAGTACAAGTGAACACATACCTGGGTCAGAAAAAAGATGAAACATGTTTAATCGCTAAACAACCCCCAATGGAGAAAGATCAAGACATTTTCTCCTTCCTAACGAACAGACAAAAAGAATGCGAAAAGTATATGTTACAATTCAACAGAGTAGACATTTTATCGACCATGCTGAGTAGAAGGAGTAAAGAAAAACGAAAATGGTATGATCAACATTTTTTTCAAAGTTATTTCTTCGAAGAGGGACATCCCTTTTACCCATTTAAAATACCACCAAGTATTAACCATTTTTCTACCTTCGAAAAATGGTCCTTAACTTCCTCTTCAACAAGGGTGCCCCTATTTGATGAGGAGGAACAAATGAGCGAATATGAATATCAGCTACTAGCATACGAATCGCTCCTCCTAGTGTATTACTTCCTGTCCACACAACTCAATGGTTACTTCCTCTTCGACATGTCTAAGAAGGACAAGCTGAACAAGGAGGTGTATAATGAATTCTACCAACGGTGTTACCCAATGCTGGAGATAATGCAAAGTGGAAAAAAACAAACTGATACGCATGTAGAGGCGGCGAAGGAGGAAGGGTACAAAAAATATACAACCCCACCAACTACAAACAAACGAAACACACTGAATGATCATTTAAAATACGTAAACCACATTTACAATGTGAAGCTGCAAAATTTATTATTAGTAAAAAGAATCGCAAGCATTTTCAGAATAAAGCTGCAACTAAATTCTAAATCTAACGATTTGATCACCCTGCTTACTATCCCTTCACACGACACAAATTGGGGCCATACCTACTCCTTCCACGTGTTAGATGTTCGCTTCAGAATTATTCGAATAATGGACAGCCTGAACTTCAATCATGTATTTCACACAGATGTAGAAAACAAGAGAAAAAAAGCGGACCCCACAGGAGAGGCACACGCTAACGAGGAAAGTAGAATCTACACATCATGGCTCAGAAGACAGCTGCAACTTCTCCACATTTCCGTGTATTGTAAATTTTATACATTTGTGAAGTTCGTTCCATTTTTTGATTCGCACTCCGACTGTTACTTAAAAGACGCACTAGATCAATTCGAAAATGATGAGGAATATTTTAGCTACCTGGGTAGAGGGTCAGGGGACAACCCCTTCGTCTCTTACCTGCGGAATGTGCAAAAGAGGATAAAGCAGCTTCACTGGTTTGTGTTACACCAAAGGGGGGTTGCTCACCACCATGGGGAGACAAAAAAAGGGCTAACCCCACAGCACCCGAAGGAGGGGGAAACGGGTGAGAAAAGCACCGATGAAAACACAAATGACAACCCGAACTTCATCACCTTCAAATCCCTACGAAGGGACGAGCAAATCATCTTTCTGTGCAACCTCCTTCTAAAAAATTTGATTAAATCCTTTCGCTTAATTTATTTCCTCAAGTCACTTGTGAAGGAGAACAAGTGGAACACCGGGGTCTGCGATGAGAAAAGGAAACTGGCCAACCTGATTAAGTATTTCACCAAAATAGAGTATTACGATTATGAGGTGAGGAAAATTGCCATATGCCACTATGTGAGGGGTAACGTCTATCCCTACCAGGAAAAACTACAGAGAAAGCATTCGAGAAACGAATCTGAAGGAGAGCCCACAGGGGGTGTGTGCTCTCCCATGTATGATGATCAAAATGTAGACCACGATGAGTTATATAAAAATATTTTCATGAAGGAGTTATCCATGTGGATTCCCACGGGGCAAAGTCGTTCCATCCGCAGCACTCGCTCCGTTCACACCACAACCCCAGCCAACGAAACACGACTAACACCGAGAGAAGAAAAAATAAGAAGAAAAATATTTTACAAACTAAATGTCGAAACGATTCTCTGTTCCAGCTGGTTCATTGACAGATCTCTCCTTCACTTCTTCTTGTATTATTACATTTCCTGCGTGATTGGTACCAGCGAAAAGACCAATATGTATGCAGACATGCCGTACCTCATGCAGGGGATCATGCTGGTAGTTTATTACCTGCAAGCAGGCAACGATTTAGCACTAAAGGGGAAGACAAAGGGATTCAATGACGGAGTAGAACCAACACCCATTCCCATATCTACCTTCATCTTGTACCTGGGGATTCATTTGTTCTATTCCTTTTTCGACAAAAATGTCTTAACCGTATGTCCAAATGAAGAAAATGGAAAAGTGAAACTTTTCTTGAGGACCCACTCAGGAACGCTTAATGAGGAGAATGATTCGAAATGGGATCAGATGGAGAAATACTACTTGCCTTCAATGAGCCCTGCTCCAAGGAAGAGCCAAATTATTAACGTACAAAATGCTAGCCAATTTTGCTTTCTTGTAAAGCATTTCGAATCCATTTTGTCCTACAGAACTGTTAACGAAATGGATATGAGAAATGGAGAAAAGGAAACGCTACATAAAAACGCAGATGCAGATCTGGAGGAAGCCATGGAGGTTTTGTACGGGGATGATTCCTGCAGCCACGAGGATAAACAGGAACCAAATCAAAGGGCCCAATTTTCTAAAAAAAAACACCCCTTCTGTGCAAACGTTCCGAACAACCATCACGCGTTAGAAAATGCAAATTCCACGGAAAATCTGTTGCAGAAAAGAAAGGAGGAAAAGAAACGCCAAAATGAATTGATCTACCTGAAGCGCTACTGCAATATTCTGCTCCACTTCAATTATAACCATGTGGAAAATTTAATCAGCCCATACATTCCTAACGTCTTCTCTCTATATGGACAGGACGAATTGTACTCGAAGGATCATTTTTGTTTTGAGTGGTGTGTGAAGAATGATGGTTGCGTCAAGGTGCACGCCGGGGGGGAGGAAGCCACGAAGCATGTCCGTTTGGACGCATCACGCGGGGGGGAAGAAACTACTAAGCAAGTCCGTTTTGACGCAGCCGAGGAGGGGGAATGCAAAAGAGAGGATTCGCTTCAGGCAGAAGGTACAGGTGATCACCCAAATGCAGACAACACCAGGAAGACCTCCACAACCGCCGTGCATGACAAACAAAACAGTCTGATGAGAACCAACGCAGAGGTTGAAAAGGGCCACAAGTTCGACGCTTCTACCAATAATACTCTCGTTATAAGATATAGAACCCACAAAAAGACACATGCTAATTTCTCCCTCATAAATCTTTCTAGAGTTGAAAAAGTAATGACGGACATCCTTCTGATGAGAATGATCAGTTGTGACTTTAGGGACCACTTCATTCTCCTTCTTTGCAATTACAGAAAGTATATTGACATGTATTCTCTTCCATATGTGTTAGACGTATTTGTGATGCTGCAGAAATTCTTCACCATTAATGATAATAGTTTTGAGGAAAAATCAAATCGGCTCAAATATCGTCACGGGGTACACACTAACCGTATGCACCATTCCCGTCGCAGACCAAATCAACAGTGCGGTAAAACTCTCTTTGACCGTTTTTGCAACGTTCTTGTGGAGGACTTGAACGATAAAGATTTGCATTGTAGTAGGAGAAGCCATGGCAGTTGTCACATTTTTACCCCCGACGAGGTGATAAAAGGGAACAGAACAAAACACACTCATCTCACGCATGGCATAATAAGCTCCGAGCACCAACTTTCCAGCTTCTTCAAATTTTTCATCTTCAACACGGTCAAAAATATTTTCTTCAATATTGTGTGTAGTGTCAAGGAGGATATAGAAGCGAGCGAGTTGCTACAAAAAGGCGAAAATGGTCACTCGCAAAGTGGCCCAGAGTTGCATCAAACGAGTGGGGGGGTGGCGGCTGGTGCACTTCCTCCCGCGGAGAGGCACTCCCCAGAAGAAGAGAAGGAACAAGAAGTAGACCAAGACAAGGAAGAGGAAGACGGCGCGAGTAGAAGCGAAAGTGGAAGCGATGATCATCCCGGCAGTGATGCTGATCTCCCCCTAAATTTTATCGCCCCCCTGACCAAACACTACGTAGACATAATCAACAAGTACATCAACGAAGTCGTCGCGGAAATTATATTCTTTTCGAACATATGGAAACAGTATCTCTCGCCCGAGGACCACCCGCTCATGGTCCTATTTTCAACAAACAGAACGCTGTACTACGAGGTTACAAAGTTCATACGAATAAATAAGAACCATAAGGACGTTCTATTTAGTCAGGCTCTATCCATCATCGTGTCCTTGTACAATTTCAATTTGGTAATTAAGGAAATCGTGTTACAAACCAACATGTACGAGAAGTACCAGTGCCTGGTGAATGAGAAGCCCCTTGCAGATCGCGTCTCCCAGGGGGTGAAGAGACCGTCCACGGGGACAACTCCCACCGTGTCGGACAATCTACCCATGGGGGACAGCCCAAGTGGCGATGCTACTCCCGTCGCGGAAGAGGCAAACCGTGCCAGATCCCCGCGTAGGAAAATGCAGAACAAAATTGCGCAGTACTACGAAACGAGGAACTCCATGAGGGGGAGCTGCGTGGAGGGGCAAACGCGGCAGCAAAAGAAGACACGGGACGAGAAGGACGAGCAGACGCTGAGGGAGGACGCGCACAACCGCTTCATCAACCTCTCGCTCATCATCTCAAACGCAAGCGACCCCTGCATGGTGAAGCTCATGTTTAAGTTAGAAAAACTATTTATTCAAATTATGGACCAAAAGTTAGAGCATAACAAAAATTTGCTATCCGTATGTTTAAAAAATGAAGAATTAATACCTCTGAATAGCCCAGACATTATGTACAACGCTACATCAGTAGATATTTTTTCCATCATATGGAGAATTTTGGATGTACTCTTTGAATACAAGTGCCCAGTGGAATGGATCATCACACCCTTTGTGCAATTTCTAAATACCTTTATAAATGATTATTGTGAAAATTATAAAAAAAAATACACCTCGTTTATTATATCCCTCATGAATCAATATGCAGATAAGTACTTCCAGGAGTTGCTCAACCTGACGGAGCAGCAAAAAATTCAGTGGGATAAATTCTCTAGCAGCAATATAATAAAAAGGAGAAATAAAAAAGAAGGAAGTAAAGCAGAAGATGAACCAGGAGGAAGTATTTTTAAACACAATCAGTTAGACATCCTGGATCATGAAGAGGAAGAAGAACAAGATGATTTCGTCTTGTATAATGAAAATATTCAAAACGAATACAACGATATGAATGAAGTTACAGAACGTATTAAACATAGAAAAAACAAATGGAAAAAAAATGTCCTTTATAAATTGTTTGACTACGACGACATAGATGTTAATGCGATAAAAAATAAAGTAGGAGAATTTCTTGAAGATATTAATGACTTATCTGTGAAGGTCTCCCCTTTTCAGAGCAGCAGTCCATCGAAGGAAGCAAAAGGGGAGCCTGCCGATGCAGCGGTAGAAGAAGAAGCAGGGCTAAGTGGCACCCACCAGTTGAGTCCATCCAATCAAGCAAATTGCGAACCACCCCGAGAGGAAAAAAAACCAGGAGCCTACATGAGTGATGATCTTGTAAACATAATAGACGAAATTAACCACCTCTTTAACAACTCCGATATGTCGAGCTCCGTGGTCATCACGTGGAATCTGTTCTTCTTCCAAGAGCAAGTAGCCCTCATTAGAAACAAATTTGAAAAATATATCCTCGACTATATAGCTACGAGGACACAAAACCTAGACAAACTAAGTCATATATTTAACAATTACCTCACCTTCAATATAACACTTCCTATGTTAAAAAAAAATATGTACACCAAAACCATTCTAGACATACTCAACACATCCATAAGTAATATAAGAGACACATTAAAAAATACAATCTACTACATTTTCAAAGTGTTATCATTCCGCATTGTATGTTATGAATTCCAGCGAGAAATTTTTTTTAATCTTTATGAACACCCATTTGACACAAACAATGTACAGTCCATCGTGGATATGTTCCCTAACACAGTAGAAAAATTTATTCTTCAAATTCCAGAATCATTTCGCAAAAGCATTCTCACAGTCTTCATCGAACTGTTTATTAAAATGTGGATCCTTGTTGTTGTAGAGAAGGGATTTTCAAGCTACCTTTTTAGCGACAACGACATACACTTGATGAAGCGGGACAACCAATGCATAAGAAAGTACATGCAACAGAAAGGCATACACCTGAGCCATTGGTTCCTCACCAAAAAGTATGATCTCACGGAATATATTGATACCTTTTTCGATTTGCTCTATGGGGACCGCCACCTGTTTTTGAATATTATCTCGGAGCAGAAGGAGCGCAAATCCATGAATATCATGTCTTCGGCCTACAACAAGGGGATGTAAGTAGCCTTTTTTGTTCCCTCCGACGTAGGGGTGGTGGCCACGCGGCGGAGTGCATTTTACGTAGCTAGCCATCCCGAATGCACCGTTTATCTGGCCGCCATCCATTTATACTCCTCCCCCCCCCCCCTTTCACCCCTTCAGGGCAATAATAACTGGAATAAACCAGCACATCCAGGAGAACCTCTAGAACGGGCAAAATACTCCGCACACCCCTCGTGCAGACGCATGTGCAGATTAATGCGCATCATGCAAAGTGATTTTTTTTTATCTTTTCAAATGTTATAGAAGGGGTGTTCTTTTCAGCGGTATGGTTGTAGTTTTCTCTGGTAAGAACATCTGCTACATCTCAACACCGCCGTCCAAATTTGTACCTCACGCAAACAATTAACCACGCAAGTTCGCTTTTCACTAAAAAAAGAAAACTCCACCACCAAACCCTGCACGTGTGCATCGGGGATTGTCTTTCACTTGTTAATTTTTTTTTTCTGCTAAATGAAGCAATGGGGAGAAACGCCCCACAAGGAAAAAAACACGTATGGAAAAGGAAATATGCAAACATGTAATGACGTAGCTAGTTATATATACATATGTACACACATAACGATGTGGTAGAATTGGGCTCATTGGACAAAAAAAAAAAAAAAAAAAAAATGCATGCCTGTAAGTGGGATGCAAGGAAGGAACAATGGCTCGCCAACTTTTAACCAGCGTAAGACACATCACGTGATCGCCCTTTTTCTTTTATCTTCGGGAGCTGCCCGAAGTTAACAAAAAAAAAAGAAACATGCACAGTATGGGGCACACTTTCGAAATTACCACTCCACACAGAGGAGAGAAGCCACCAATGCGATGGGGCCACATACACCTCTTTATTCATCACTCATACTGCAGATATAAATACGTTCAAAAGCGAATGTAAACAAAAAATGAAATGTGAAAAATACCTGAGGGGTTTCCAGCCTTGTAAAAGGACTGCATAAGGGAAATGCTCCTCTCCGTGCAGCCTCCGCTCTTTATATAATTCACATTTAAGTCTTGGTACCTGCAAAAGTGAGCGCCATAAAAAAGGAGGGTAGTTACAGTTAGGCAACAAACATTCCATGATCTGCAGCTGCCTTTATCGTTCTCGCCTTTCCCTCGCTTTTTTCTTTTTTGTTACGTTTTGTGCAAGGACAGGACTGAACCGCATCCTCCGAAGCGCTCGTTGAGGCAACAAAAGTAAATGTTCTTTATGCCTGGCATGTTCGCATATGAACAAAGGGAAAGAAAAGAAAACGGTGAGGATAAGCCAAGTGATAAAACGTGTAGAGGGAGGGGCAACGCTACGTGGGAGAGACGACTTGAAAAAGAAACGCCATGTCTAAACAGTACGCCTACCCCCTAAATGAGTGCACAAAAAAAATGATGCGCCTGCCTCAATCTCCCTTCCGCATTACCCATAAGCTTCAACGCATAGACACACATGATGCACGGCTCACAAGTCACCACGATGCAGCATTTTCGAAGGTTCTCCATCTTGTGTTTTATTTCGTTTTTTTTCTCTTCACTTAATTGGTCAGTCCTAGTTCCTGCGGGTCGTTCTCTAAGCAGCAAATCGTCTTCTACCCCAGAAGAAGGGTTAGCTAAATTATCCCTCTTGCACAAATCCAAATGGGAAAAATATTTGGCGAGAGATTTCTCCACTCCGTTTTCACAATTGTTAAAGCATTTAATTATGTTCCTATTCTTCATACCCTCGTAATCCTCCCCATAAAGGTACTTGTCTATGGTTATGAGCTCACAGTGTCTGCTTCCATTCTTCGATTCGTTTGTGTGGTTGTAGGAGCTCGACACAATTTCTTTTTTTTCGTTTATCAGAAGACAGAATATGGGCATTTCCTTCAGCTCCACGTGCAGGCTCTTTTCCGCCTTGGGAAGCAGCACAAACGGGGGGGGAAAAAAAAAACGTCTACGTGTCTGCGTGGTGGTACTCTGGACGCATCGAGAATGCATCACTAACACATTCCAAGCACGCGTAAACATCGCGCCCAGAATGCTCTCTCCTCCCCCCGCTTTGACGTGACTTACCTCCTCCAATGCGATATTTAAAAAGTGAATGGCATCCTCTTCCTTAAGCACAACCATCTTGTTCCACGTGCAGAGCCGAGATAGCAGCTCATCAGGTTAGCATCTTTCCCCCTCCGAGGCGTCAACGGGGAGGTAAACCTACCCGAGCGCTTATAAA